AAAAATTACTAACCACGGCGGTAATTTTATAATAATCATTGTGAGAAGTAGTACTCAACCACGGTGGTAATTTTATAATTACCGTCGGGGGAAGTAGTCTTCAACCACGACCACAAGTCCATATTTTACTATCGTCTGAAAGAGTATTAACCACGACAGTAATTGTATAATTAATGTCGTGTGAAATAGTACTCACCCACGACGGTAATTACGTATGATCGTCGAGCGAAATAGTACCTAGCCACGATGGTAATCACATAATGACCGCCATGGTTTGTAGGGTTAACTCGTGGTACCTTTTATGTTATATTATACTAAACCACGATGCTTGTTACACATTAACCACCATGTTAACTCTTATACTATGGTGGTCCCTTTTTACCACCATCGTCTTATGAATGTGCTGACTCTTAGAGATTTTGCCTTGGCCTAAAATTTTCAGTTTTCACTCTCAACCCTAAAATTTTGCCTTGGCCTACTTTTTAGATTTGTCTTCGTCTTTAACTCTGAAGCACTCGTCTTTAACTCAAAAGGGCGCCGTGACCATTTCTTTGACAAAAACTTTGCCTGCGAGGTTACCATTTCTCTCTCTCTCTCTCTCTCTTTAAAAAAAATCTAAATCTAAATTTGTTCTTCTTTTTTCTGCATATATCAGTATTTCTAACTTTGAATAATATATATATTCAAATTCTACAAACCAAGAACTAGGCAAGTAGGACAATGTGTGAAAAGACGAAGAACATGGTGCCATATAGAAACTTGCAGAGGTATATTTCAATTCTTCTAACTCTCTGCATTTGCTTTTATCTTTGTATCTTTGTTCCAAGTAGTCCCAATCCTAAAATCCTAGCCGTTAGATTAATCTAAGGGCTATAATTAATACAAATAGAATTAAAATACATATTAAATTAATTATTTACGATAAATCAATCAAATACCACATATATTCTTCATCTTTAATCAGCACTCCTTAATCCTTATCAAGATGCTTTGGTGGTTGAGTCATAATGGCTTATTTATTATGATCGTCCTTGTTTTTGTTGCATGATAAGTTCAATGATATGATAACTACATGATTTTGTTAATAATGAAATTTTTTAATATCTGTGGGTTATTGTTGGTTTGGTTTTGTATGGGATAACAGTTATCTTGTCTTGGCATATCTAACTAGAGTGCCAGGATTTCTGTCATTTATTTAGAAACAATGTTTCTTGGATTCCTTTCAGTTTCAGACATAATGCATGCGTTGTGTTTCTGTGATCTACACTAATCACATGCGTTTGTTCTTTCTATTGTTTAATACCCTTTTTGGTTTTGAATTTTATCTAAACTATGTTGTCCCTTTTTGGTTTTGAATTTTTCTAGAAACAAGTGATGTATATTTCTTTAATACTATTTGATTTCAATATTGACTCTAAATTGTCGGCCAAGGTTCCCTTGATTTCGTTAGTTTGACAGAAGAAGCTTGACAGAAACTAGTTTTAAAAACTTAATAGATTTTGTCTCATCCCAATTGTTTTAAAATTTAAGTATCCTACTTTGAGTATTATTGTATGAAGTAAAGCTTTTACTGTTTTCTACTTTCATTGATGTTTTTTTATAGTTGTTTTATTTTAGTAAATTAAAAATTGAGAGGTGACTTCTTGACTTGTGGTTCTTTTAGGTTCCCCTCCCTTGGGGAGGAGCTGGCGATACTAGGGCTGGAGCATGAGAGGTAGTGGTTTTTTTTTTAATGTTACTTTAACTCTTCTTCGATTTTGCTAGAGAGGGCATGAATGAATGAAGTAAATTTCCCTTTTCTCATTTTCTCATTTTCTCTGTTTGCTGCAAGTTTCCTTTTCAGATCTAAGGTCCTAATATTTGACTTGTGTTTAGGCTTGCCTCCCTTGTGGTTTTGCTTAAGAAGCACTCTGCCTCTACCAGGGGCAAAGTGCATGATACTGCTAGCTTCAGTGCATTGAAGCTAAAACTGCAAACTATGGCTTTCCCCAAATTGACGATTGATGGTGCCGCACTCTGTTTTTTTATATATCCGCACCCCTTGCCCGGGCTCTTCGACTTCACTGAATTTTTGGATGCCTGCATGGCCGTCTTTACGCACACTGCAATGGGTGCTGCAGAGTTTGTCAATCTGTCCGATGCCCAGATTGGTGCTCTTCAATTTTCATGTGGTAATTTTATAGTTTGTTTTAGTAGCGTAATATGTGTTAATGAACAGTGTATAATACCACACTATTTTGTCTTTGCAGGTTGAGTATTTTCTTCTTTCCTCGGCTTTTCTCACTTTGTCACACTCGACGAAACGGAGAGCAAAAGAAACTTGATTTTAGCAAACTAACGAAATTCTCATATTTTGAATGACTAGAACCTTTCCTTTTATGACTTCAATTATAACTATTCAACTATTTGTTGATTTCATCTTTTCCAATGTTTCTTGTATGCATGGACCCACTTGGATCCATAGTTTTGTCTTATTGAGAGAGAGAGAGATAGAGAGAGAGAGAGAGAGAGAGAGAGAGAGTTGGGCCCAAAAATTGGCCCAATAATATGAAAACGGGCCGATAACATGCATGTTTAAAATAAGTCAATAGTTGGGTCTAGAAGTTGGCCCTATAACATGAAAACGGGCTGATAACAGGCCTTGTAAAAGTTCTTCGAATTCCTCTTACTGGTCCGACTTGTAGCTTTACTTTTCTTTTTCTTTTTTCTCTCTCATATGATTTGCCTCTCCAGAGCTGAGCTCTATGGAGATCCCAGCAGAGGAGATAGAAACGGGGGAGAACCCAGAGGAGGAGGATGAGGAGTTACTGAAGGAGGATGAATAGTTACTAGAGGAGGAGGAGGAGTTACCCAAGGAAGAGGATGAGTTATCGAAGGAGGAGAAATAGTTACCGAATGAGGATGAGTAGTTACCAGAGGAGGAGGATGAGTTACCAAAGGAGGAGGAGTACTTACCGGAGGAGGAGGAGGAGTAGTGGTTGCCGAAGGAGGAGGTTGAGTTACCAGAGGAGGAGGAGGAGTTATCGAAGGAGGAGGAGTAGTTACCGGAGGAGGAGGATGAGTTACCGGAAGAGGAGGAGGAGTTGCCAAATGAAGAGGCGGATGAGTAGTTACCAGAGGAGGAGAAGTAGTTACCAGAAGAGGAGGAGGAGTTACTAGAGGGGAGTTTTCAGCGGAGATCACATCGGAGATCCCAGAAGAGAAATATGAGAGGTGGTTGCTTTTTTTTAATGTTACTTTTTTAATTATGAGATAATTAAATATTTTTTATATAGTTGTTTTCTGCTTATTTTATTTTAGGAAACTAAAGTGCCTTTTAGTTGTTACCAGAAGAGGAAGATGGGTTACCGAATGAGAAGGAGTAGTTACCAGAGGAGGAGGATGAGTTATCGAAGGAGGAAAAGGGATGAGGAGTTATCGAATGAGGATGAGTACTTACCAGAGGAGGAGGATGAGTTACCGAAGGAGGAGTAGTTACCAGAGGTGAAGGATTAGTTACCGAAGAAGGAGAAGTAGTTACAAGAGGAAGAGGATGAGTAGGATTAGTTACCGAAGAAGGAGAAGTAGTTACAAGAGGAAGAGGATGAGTAGTTACCAGAGGAGAAGGAGTAGTTACTGGAAGAGGAGGAGGAGTTACCGAATGAGGAGGAGTAGTTACCAGATGAAGAGTTTCCAGCGGAGATCACATCGGAGATCCCGGCGGAGCTGCTTGCAGAAATCCTGGCCGAACTCCCAGTTGAGATCGCAAAGGATCTCCCAGCTGAGATCCCGGAGGGAGAACTCCCAACTGAGGTCCCGGAGAGAGAACTCCCAGCTGAGACGATTCACACGATTCAGAGGTTTCTTTCTTTTATTTTAATGTTATTTTTTAAATTATTAAATAATTAATTTTTTTTTATATTTTAGTTGTTTTCTACTTCTAATTTGTTAACCTTGGCTTGTAGGGAATATAATCTTGATTTTTTGAAAGCTGAAAAGGTTTCTGGATATCATATTCGACCTTCAAGAGAAGAGTAGTTTCAGAGAATTGTAGAAGAAGAATAGGATTCTGTTATTATGTTTTGTAAGAATGATCGTATTACAACCAGTGTTACTAAGTAGCTCATTAGCCTAACTAACTCATAACAGACCTATAACAATCTTGCTTTGGATTATGTGGAGCAATTAGTCATTTTCCTTTTTTATTCTGTGTAGATGATTTTATATAGAGTTTGGTGATTATGTGGAATATAAAAAAGTTTTTCGGATCCCCCTGGTTCTATTTAGGTTAGCTACTTTGGATTTTGGACAAGAATTCTTCAAGACCTCACTTGAAGATATTCTTCACGAGCACTTTGTGTGCTCAAGGGGTAGGGTTTATGATCATGGTAGCTTTACTGTAGCCAAGCTGAAGTTGCAAGCAATGATGTTTCCCAATATAACTTTTGAAAATTCTGGTCTTATGCATTTTTTGAATCCCCGGCCTTTTCCGAGATTGATTGAGTTCAAAGAGTTTTTGCATGCATGCATGGGTGTTTTTGCCAACTACGGAATTGGTGCGGCTGATTTTGTTATGCTGGATGGTCCTGGAATTGGTCTCATTGCTTTTGTAAGTGGTAAATTTCATCTGCTCGAATTGTTATTATATGTATTTCTTTTTTTCTTGATGAAGTTGAATGTCTGCATAACCTATAACACACTATTTGTTGTTGTTTGCAGGCTTAGTAAGAGTGAAAAGGTTGAACATTACATGTTATTTTGAGAAACAATTATGGAACGTCGTTTTGTTACTTGTTGCTTCTGTTTACATATTGTTGAGTTGAGTGAATGAGGAGTTACCAGAGAAGGAATTACCAGAAGAGGAGTTACCGAATGAGAAGTTACCAAAGGAGGAGGAGGATGAATTACCGAATGAGGAGTTACTGGAGGAGGAGTTACCGGAGGAGGAGTTACCAGAGGTGGAGGAGGAGTTACCGTAGGAAGAGTTACCAGCTGAGATCACATCGGAGATCCCGGAAGAGTTACCAAATGAAGGGGCCACTTGGGTCCATAGTTTGGTCTAATAATATGAAAACGGGACGATAAAAGGCGCCGGAGGAAGAGGAGGAGGAGGAAGAGAGGGAGCCGGAGTTACCGAATGATGAGTTATCAGAGGAGGAGTTACCATAGGCGGATGAGTAATTACCAGATGAGGAGGAGGAGTTACCGGAAGAGGAGGAGGATTTACCGAATGATGAGTTATCAGAGGAGGAGTTACCATAGGCGGATGAGTAATTACCAGATGAGGAGGAGGAGTTACCGAAGAAGGAGTTACCGGAAGAGGAGGAGGATTTACCGAATGATGAGTTACCGGATGAGTAGTTACTAGAGGAAGAGGAAGAGTTGTTACCAGAGGAGAAGGAGGAGTTACCGAATGAAGATTTACTAGCGGAAATCACATAGGAGATCCCATAGGAGAAGCATGAGAGGTGGTTGTTTTTAGGTTTCCCTCCCTTGAAAATATTCTTGACCAGCACTTTTTAGGTTTCCATATACACATTAACACTAATGTGGATATCTTGGTGATATGGTAGAAAGTTTTGCTTTATGAGTGTTGCATGTGGTATTAGACAAACAATAATGCACATTAGTGTACAAAAATAAATGTAAAATTACACCATCTAATTGAAAATTGCAAATCAAGAATCTGCGCAGCAGAAAGGTTGACAAACTCCGCTGGATCCACTACAGTGTGTGCAGAAACGCCCACACAGACCTCCAAAAACTCCGCAAACTCGAAGAAACCAGGAAATGCATGTGGATTAATGAAAAACGAAAGGGCGAACCCGCCAATTGTCAACTGGGCGCACATTAGTGTACAAAAACAAATGTAAAATTACACCATCTAATTGAAAATTGCAAATCAAGAATCTGCGCAGCAAAAAGGTTGACAAACTCCGCTGGATCCACTACAGTGTGTGCAAAAACGCCCACACAGACCTCCAAAAACTCCGCAAACTCGAAGAAACCAGGAAATGCATGTGGATTAATGAAAAAAGAAAGGGCGAACCCGCCAATTGTCAACTGGGGAGACGCCCTAGCATGCAAAGTCAGCTTCATTGCATTGAAGCTCTCCTTATCGTGCACTATGCCCCAGGCAGAGGCAGAGTGCACCTCAAGCATAGTCACCAGAGAGGCAAGCCTAAAAGTCAAATATTAGGACCTCTTGCAGTAAAAGATAGATAATATATCATGATTCTTTTTTGCAAATGGTAATGAAGATGGATTATCTCAAGTTTTTAAAAGTGCCTCAAATGGTGGTTGAACAAATTTCAGGAATTGCTGAAAATTAAAAACTTGAAAAAAGGAAAAAAAAAGTTTTTTTTATGGAACAAAATTTCATTAATTATTTGTGCAACTCTTGATTAATTAGAGCTTCAATCTGAATGACCATTCTTGGAGGTTTCTGAACCTCGTTCTTTGGAATTACAACACAAGTTCTAAATGTTATGGAAACATAGAATAGAAGATAATCATCTAATTTTAGCCTCATGTGTCCCTGGCTTAAAGACAAATGGATGAAAACACGAGATAAGGCCCACGTCATCAATATCGATTTGGTCAAATAGATTTGGGTATTTTGCAATACCGCATTCTTGGAGGTTTCTGAACCTCGTTCTTTGGAATTACAACACAAGTTCTAAATGTTATGGAAGCATAGAATAGAAGATAATCATCTAATTTTAGCCTCATGTGTCCCTGGCTTAAAGATAAATGGACGAAAACACGAGATAAGGCCCACGTCATCAATATCGATTTGGTCAAATAGATTTGGGTATTTTGCAATACCGTATGTGGACGATAACTAGTTGGCCTCATTTAGCAACTCTCAATATTATGAGTTAAGCCCTACATTGACTTCAACCCTCATTATTAAAAAAAAAATGGCAACAATCATAATTATTTGGTTACATTTGGAGATTAATGCTGGGGTGACTAGAGGTTTTAGTAACAAAATAATAGTGATTATTGCCACTTTTTTTTTCTTTGTGTGTGTGTGTGTGTGTGTGTGTGTGTAGTGCATGGAGAGTCTCTTGGTATAATATCTTTTGCATTTCAGTCTTTTCGTGATCAAGGCAATCGAACATGTATAAGTTTTATAAAGATGATATCTCTCAAATTTCTGTTTGATTTTAATAAGAACTGGATGGATGAATGTCTTCCTATTTTCTACTTTTCTTTCTCCTAATGTAAAATATGTGATATCCTTGCTACATATATCTCATGATATCCTCTTATGATTTTTTCTTTTCTTCTCTAAGTTTTAAATACAGTGCCAACAAGTCAGCCAAGTAATTTGAAAACATGCTTTGTAAAAGATCTTCAGATTCCTCTTACTGGTTCGACATATTGGTCCATTTCTTGAAAGTGTATTAAATCTTAGGGTTTAGAGAGTCTAAAAAGAGAGAGAGAGCGAGAGAGAGAGATGAGCCCAGAAGTTGGCTCTATAACATGAAAACGGGCTGATACAATGCCCTGTAAAAGTTCTTCGGATTCCTCTTTCTGGTCCAACTTGTAGCTTTACTTTTCCTTTTCTTTTTTCTCTCTCATATGATCTGCCTCTCTAGAGCTAAGCTCTGTGGAGATCCCAACGGCGAAGATCCCAGCGTAGGAGATAGGAGCGGTGGAGATCCCAGAGGAAGAGATACCAGAGGAGGATGAGGAGTTACCGAATGAGGAGTTATTAGAGGACGAGTTACCGGAGGACAAGTTACTAGAATAGGAGGAAGAGTTACCGAATGAGGAGTTGTCGGAGGAGAAGTTATTGAAGGATGAGTTACCAGAGGATGAGTTACCGAATGAGGAGTTACCAGAGGAGGAGGAGGAGTTGTTACCAAAGGATGAGGAGGAGTTATCGAAGGACGAGTTACCGGATGAGGAGTTACCAACGGAGATCTCAAAGGAGAACCATGAGAGGTGGTTGTTTTAGGTTTGCCTCCCTTGAAGATATTCTTGATCCTCTGCCCGGGGCAGAGTACATGACGGTGATAGCTTCACTGCCTCAAAGCTGAAATTGGAAGCAATGGCTTTCTCCAAAATGACAATTGGGAATTCTGCCCTCATGTTTTTTTTAAATCCGCGTCATTTGCCTGTACTCTGTGAGTTCAAGGATTTTCTGGATGCCTGCATAGCCATCTATGCACACTGTGGAATCAGTGCTGCAGATTTTGTTAATCTCTACGGTCCCGAGATTGGTCCGATTAAATTTTCACGTGGTAAATTTTAATTTTACGGTTTTGTTTTGTTAACATAATCTGTGTTAATGTGTAGCCTCTAATACAACACTATTTGTTGTTTGTAGGTTGAGTATTTTGAGGAACATGGAAATGACTTTTCAATTATGGAACCTCTTTTCTTACTTGTTGTTTCCGTTTATGACTATTCAATTATGGAATCTCTCTTCAATTATGACTATTCAACTATTTGTTGATTTCGTCTTTTTCAATGTTTCCAGTATATATGTATTGTCTGTCAAAATATTCTTTGTTGGCCCATTGATTTAGAAGCTATCGACCCAATATCGCAAGAAGGGCCCACTTGGGTCCAGAGTTTGTTCTTATAATGTGAAAACGAGCCAACAAGTCGGTGCAGTAATTTGGAAACATGCCCTGTAAAAGTTCTTCAGATTCCTCCTTACTGGTTCGAGTTATTGGCCCGGTTCTTGAAAGTGTATTAAGCCTTAGGGTTTAGAGAGTCACAAAGAGAGAGAGAGAGAGAGCGAGCGAGTGAGAGAGATGGCCCAGAAGTTGGTCCTTTAACATGAAAACGGGACGAGAGAGATGGGCCCAGAAGTTTGCCCTATAACATGAAAACGGGCCGATAGCATGAAGTTCTTTGGATTCCTCTTACTGGTCCGACTTGTAGCTTTACTTTTACATTTCTTTTTCTCTCTCATCTGATCTGGCACAAAGAAGTGAGCGTAAATTATAGTATTCGTGCTGATTAGGGTATGAAAAGTGTTTTTGCGAACCACAATAAAAAAATTTGGATTGAAATTTTTTTTTAAATATTTTTTTTTTAAAAAAACCTCACAATGGTTGTCACTGATTTAACTTGAAAAAGTGTATATTAAAATATATTGAAAGTAAAATTTAACTCCTTGCATTTTTTAAGAAATGAAATCATTTATACCATGTTCATCCACTATTAGAACAATTGAGGCAGGAATGCTACATATAAGAGACATTGGAGTTTCTGCTTCTGCAGGCAGAGGATGGCCATCCCCAACCAGACTACCGTGTTTGAAAACAATTTTCTGAGTCATTGTTGGATTAATTTTGTATAAAGATAATTATATCAGAAACTGTCTAAAATATAAAGAGAGGAATTTTACATAGGTTCCCAGCATTTGGCATGAAACTCTACACAAACAATTATAGCTTTCAGATAACCTTTCAAGGGAAGCACCATTGTCAATGGACCATGTTGTTCATTTTAGATTTCCATAGTTTCAACAAGGTCAACACCATTGTTCCACTTTTCAGGTCCACCAAGAAGCACAACATCCAAATGCACAAGGTATATTTTGTCCAACTTTACCAATTGCTTATCACTTTCTGCTAGGGACAATGTATATTTTTAATTTTTTAATTTTAAGCATAGTATAGCCGCGCGGTGGTACTTTTTTAAATATTTTATTATATTTTATTTTTAACTGTTTGGCTTGTTAAACTTACTTTTCTCCTTTTTAAAGAGAAAAACAAGCAAGTATAGGAGTCAATTTGCTTGTCTGCCCTCGCTCCTTCTCAAGTTTGGTATTGTGGTTAGTGAATTAATTTGTCTTTGGTTGATTAAAAGAAACTGAACCATGTATGAAATTGGTAGATCTATCATATATCATCTATGTGCATATTGTTTCCTTTGACATTGCATTCTATACTCTTCTTCTTTTTGAGTTAGTAGTTTGTTTGATTTTCTTTCTCTCTTTATTGTTAAATAGGAAAGGTTTCTTAATTGGTTCTCTATTGAATTATTACACCAGGCAGCAGTGCTTTTCAGAAGCCTCAACTCGGTGACCAGCTGATCTGCTCTCTTCATTCACCACAATTAAGACAGTCATGAATAATTTATATGATGGCCTTGCCGAAGTAAATCTACAAGCCAAACAATTACTTATTTTTTGATCTTGCCTGAAACCTTTTCCTAGTGATCTATCTTGTCAATTTTTAGTTAGAATTTTTTTGGACTGGTATGTTATAAACATTTAGTCATTTGTAACTATGGTCACATCACATGTGCATTCTCTTTCATGTGCAAGTTCAGGCATGTTTGTCAATCTCAGTGCTGTCGTCTTTGCGAGGCGTTTTTAGATGCAAACTTAACAAAGAGGTACAAAATTGATCCAAAATATGTATTTTACAGTAACCGTCTGGAGTTAAGGTGAGGACTTTTTGATTAGTGGACATATATTTTCTCTACTGATCTCTTGTCAAGATTTTGCAAATGCTAACCATTGTTTATGGCCTATATTAGAGGGTTAACTGCGCTACATGCATCATCTGAAGAAGTTACTGAATGGCAAACTTGGCCAACGTCATAATAGGGTGGGAGGAGTCCTTTGGTGAGTTTTGAGTGAAATCCGATGGCTAAAACTCGGCAATACACCAACCACTCCATTTACTGAACAAAGTTGGTACGAAGTTGAATTGTCCAATTTCTAAGACTTATTGATTTCGGATCGAGCCCAAAACTTGGCGAACGTCGTAATAGGGTGGGAGGAGTCCTTTGGTGAGTTTTGAGTGAAATCCGATGGCTAAAACTCGGCAATACACCAACCACTCTATTTACTGAACAAAGTTGGTACGAAGTTGAATTGTCCAATTTCTAAGACTTATTGATTTCGGATCGAGCCCAAAACTTGGCGAACGTCGTAATAGGGTGGGAGGAGTCCTTTGGTGAGTTTTGAGTGAAATCCGATGGCTAAAACTCGGCAATACACCAACCACTCTATTTACTGAACAAAGTTGGTACGAAGTTGAATTGTCCAATTTCTAAGACTTATTGATTTCGGATCGAGCCCAAAACTTGGCGAACGTCGTAATAGGGTGGGAGGAGTCCTTTGGTGAGTTTTGAGTGAAATACA